TAGAGGAAAAGGTACCATGCAGCATAAGTCAGGATGGTAGAAGTCATCCAGTTATTACCTGCACAGTATTCCCTGCAGTAGACAAAGCCACAATTTATATCTATCACAGATTATGTCATCAAAATGACAAAAAGGATTAAAACATTAAATCTGGAATTAAATATTTTGAGTTTCACAAAATATTTTTTCAATATCCACTAAAGAAATTTTTCTTGAAGTCCATTTCCCAGAGTTTCAATGCGTTTGTGATATTTCAAGGTTTAAAAAATCACATGAAATGGAATTATGGCTAATTATGCATAGCTTTATACCTAAATTTTCTTGAAACTAGTTTATTTCCTTTTAAATTTTCTAATCAGTAAGGCTGAAAGTTTTCCATTCTAGGTATCATCAAACCTTCAGATATTTTAAAATTAAAATAGAAGGAAATACTGTTGTTTGTTGGGGGTTTTTTTCCCCACAATAAACTATTCCAGAAAACAGTTTCTCAAAAAGCTCTGATTTTTTTTACCTTTAAAGGTAAAAAACCAAGACATTGGGATTTCTTGAGGAGGGACAACAATGCTGATATAACATACGAACATGTGCCCCTTGGGCCAGTTCTGCCATATAAACTTTTTACTGTCTTGGCAACGGCTTTTGTTTTTTTATTTATTTATGTATTGCTTTATGCTATTTGTCATGATGTCTTTCACCTTTCAAACCAAAACTGCAACCAGAAACAGACATACAGCACTGGAAATGAGCTGTGGGAGGGTTTCACTGCTGTGACCCTTCCAAAAAGCTACTCTGCTATTGAAAACAATTTTTAATTGATTTCCCCAGCACTGTCCATCCTCCACAGTATAACAAAAATATCACAGATTCTTATATTATTATTACTATTAATACTACTTTATCGGTATTAGTTATTTTTAGCATTCTTTGTATATGATAGTATATTATCAGCTTTAATTCACTTCAGGCATGTATATGCTTCTGAAGTCCCTCCACCATTTTACTTGGTTTCCAGGTGAGAACAAAAGTGAGCAGGGAAAACCTCAGTGCAACCAGAATAATTATTTTTTAATTGCAGCTTAAAAACACTAATCCAGTTGTACTTCTATTCCTGATTATTCTCAAATCTGACTGAACACGATTCACTATCAGCTGGCTGCCTGTGGGTGACTTCCTTGGTTATTCTTCAAATACAGGAAAACACCTGTATTACACTTGGTCAAATAGTTTTGAAACAAGCTACTAATTATGTATTCCTCAGCTGTGAGTGATCTGAGTTTTTTCACTGTTCAATGTGCAGTGAAAATATGGTACCTTGATAAATGACACAGAACATCAAAAAGTAAACCAAGCCATGCCATGGAAAACCATGAGACACTTGCAGAAATCTTGGCCTCAAGTTCCAAAGCTGTTCTCAGATTACCATGTTATTCCTGCACAGGAAAGGGGAGATTGAGGGCATAAAAGTGGGACTTTTTTTTTCCAGAGGGAAATTTGTAACCTGCCATGGACCAGCATAAGCCTATGTGTGACATGCCCCTCATCAGACACCCTTCAGACCAGGCATCCCGAATCTCTGGCACCCCCAGCATTTTCTAAGTGGCCTGTCTTAGTGGGTCTCAATTAGAAGCAGGAGAGAGATGTACGGTCCTGTGTAGCCAGAGCAATGCAGAGGAGAAAATCATCTACAGCATAAATCCACAGATCTGCGTGGATGTTCCCCATGCCAGTATTTCAACTTCCTTTTTAAAACATGAATAAAGAAGTGAATATATTGGAAAGGCCAAAAGGACTTGAGCTCCATCTGTCTTTCCCAGGCAGTTATTAATCCAGTGGCTGGTCTGTAGTCCCAGTCATCTAACCGGAGAAGCAAGTGTTCATACTGTTATCCACATTTTACCATATTTTTACCATTTCCACAGGATTGGGTTGGTTTCCATCCTGTCAGTCTCTACTCTGAATCCAGGTTGCAGTTCAGAGAGTCAGGAGGACTGGGCAAGGAAATTCAGGTGAGGGGAGAAGGATTGAAACTGGGAGCAAGACTAAGGGTGCAAGCTCTGGGCTTGGCAGGTGGGATGTAAGGATTGGGAAGGCTGGAAAAGCAGAGGTTCAAGTCATTTAACAAGCAAAGGAACCAGCAGTTACCTGGAGATGAGAGAATATGATTTTCTAAGCTTGCCCGTACTGGCCCCCCAGGAGAGGGAAAACTGAATAAATATGTTGTTAAAAGAGTGTGCAATAGTTTGTATTCATAAAGGACTCAAAGTACAATATACTAGATGCAGGTGAGTATACATAACATACATACTGTAATCTCCACAAAATTAATACAAAATGTGTCCTGTGTCTCCACAAAATTGTGTGGTCTGTATTAAGGCAATTTTAACAATTCTGTGGACTCAAAATAAAGCATGTAAATAAGTAAAAACTACAAATGTGTGGAAATTCTAAAGGCTCACAACACACATGTATGCATATCTTGATTTTCAGAATGCATATGTAGCAGCATACTAAAGGCATTTTTAAGAAGCCAGATCATTCCTTCTGCTTTCCCTAACAAAAGTTTAGAAATTACTAAAACGAAGTCAAAAGTAAGTGATGGAAAGGCTGTAAGTATATATTTTTTTGCTGTTTGTTCTTCTGGGAACTTCTGATGCTGAAATTTTGATGGGATTTTATCCTCTCTGGTCACTCATGCTTACAGACACAACCAACTTCAACTTGGTTTTCTGTCATTCTTGCTCCAGTACGAGTCTTGTAGCTCAATTCTAACATCAATCACTTGGACTATAAATCTCTGCAATGGATATGGCCATTTAAATCTCCACCTGCACAAACAACAATCAGGCCTCGAAAACGAGGCTCATAAATCTCCACACTGGTGACTAGTAATATTTTGGATCTGCAACAGCAAGGCTGTAAAGAAAAAAAATTAAAGGAAAAAATAAAGGCAAAGCTAATTCATTAATTAGGACTGATATGCTGACAATCTGTTTGGCTTATACACAGAGAAAACACAAACAGGACACAGTTAACACAACATGATGTTAGAAGTTAGTGAATTCCCAAGAGCCCAGGACCTGGAGATATGATATCTTAATGTACTTATCCTATTGTGAGTGGGAAGGTGTTATCTTCCAGACAAGCAGTAAAGAGGTGGTTTAAAGTTTAGATCTGCCTTTCTTTTCTGACTTACATGAGCCAAAGAATTGAGATGGACCAACAGATAGGCAAGACTTCCTTGTTGGTTATTGAAAATGACACTCCTCGGTCTCCTACTGAAACTTTAATCTGCAAACAGTACATAGCACTCAGCAGACATACCAGTTTGGTCTTCCACAATTTTTGTTTGGATGGTTGTTTTTTATTTAGCGCATTAAGAAAACCCCATGCGATGCTCACACAGATCACTAAGAGACTTCTCCTGTGTCTCCGGTGACTGTGGATTAACTCTGAGCCACAGTGACAACTGAGGCTGCATATTTTTGCCCAGAGCCATGTGAATCCTCAGGTAAGCAGTCGAAAAAGTGGAGTTGCTCCTGCAGTCAAATCAGTCCTGTGTCCAGAAAGTGCAGATTGTGCCCAGTTCTTTAGTCCCCTTTTTTCAAAACCCAGGCTGCTGGGGGACCTGAGAGGTTTCAGGAAGCACGTGGGGAGGGAAGGAGCTATGGGGACAAGCTTGTGCTTTGCTAACCTCTTTGGACTCCACATGTGGGTTTAGGAGACTATTTACATGGAGGGGAAGAGGGGATAGGACAAGGCTAACTGCTTTTAAAAGCCTGCTCTACAGAGACTGAATACACATGTGCATAAAGTCTGTAACAGGAGCATACATCTCTTCATTCAAACTACACAGCAACCCACTCATTCACGCTTGTTGTAAAACCACTGGGAATGTTTGGCTTCAGTGGCTGGAGTGCCCGGCCTAACGCCCTCAGTCCCACCACTCCCACATAAGAAGCCTTATCCCTTATCTTACCTTTTTATTCAGGCAAAACTCCCTGACTTTTGAGCATGCACGAATCGGCAGACAGAACACTCCACGAGTACAGCAGAATGAACCACTGATGTCTGCTCCGCAACCACACAGAGAAAAGGGTGGTTTTTTCTGTGGGATCTCTACCATCCAATAACCTCATCTGCAGCCATGCATACCCACCCTGGCAGCACAACACTCTCCCTTGGATAGGTGAGGCTCACAAACCACCGTGACCTTGGCTACCCAGCTCACCTGTGGACCAGGAAGCCTCCACACCATTTACAGCTGGGGGGACTCAAAGAGTGAAAAGGGACCGGGACTTGTCAGATGTCACCCAGAAGGGCTGGAAGAAGTCAGATCCTCCTGACTCCAGCCCCTGGGCTGTGACGGCAAGGTCCACACTGTTGGCCAGGCGGCGGAGCACTCCCTTCCTGGAATATGCTACTAGCTGGACAGGATGTGTTCACAAATATAATCATCCACAAATCTCCCCCAGATTAGGTTACAGGACAGCGTTTCCACGGCATGCATTACAAAGCTCCCTGGAAGGCTTGGCTGGTGGATCTGCTGCTCTCTCTGCTCATGACCCATTTTGGCTTTCAGCAAGAATCATGACACCAGCTGCCTGGGTCATCTAGGAGGCAGAGAGGGGGAGAGCAACTCTGGGCTGGAAAGGGAAATGGGGAAGGAGAAGAAGAGGAGGAGGAAGGGGGAGGATAGAAAGACAGAGCAGGGGGAGAGAGAGTGAAGGAGTTGTTTTAGTCCAGTTGTGAAGATCTGGATCCTAGTTTCGAGCTTTCAGCAAAGGCTTGCTGGGATACCTCATTCCCTGTCCTGTGCGAAGGTCTGTGATTGGGGATGTGGTGTGCTCAGTGGGCAGGGCCCCTCCCCTGGGCTGGATCCGCCTCTCTTATCCCCCAGATAAATTACTAGTGTCCTCACTAAATTCCTCGGCTTTCTCTCTCTCTCTCTCTCTTCCTCTCTCCCTTGCTCACACAGTCTCACTCCCTCCCTCTAACACGGGCAAAGCAGGGTTAGGGGTGGGAGGGCGGAGATCCTCTCTGGACTGGTATCGTGCCTTAGTCCTGGGCGGGGAGGGAAGGGGAGGAAAATATTGGAGCCCTTCTCTCCTACGCCGCCTTGAAATAGATTTGAGGAGCTGCCCTTCCTCCTCCCCTCCCCCTTTCCCGCTGGTCGTTTGGCATCTTCCAGACCATGTCCACTGGGTCCCTCAGTGATGTGGAAGATCTGCAGGAGGTCGAGATGCTGGAGTGCGATGGCCTGAAAATGGATACTAACAAAGAGTTTGGGGCGTCCACCGAAAGCAACGAGGAGGGATCCAATGGCGAGAATGGCTCCCCTCAGAAGGGGAGAGGGGCCTCGGGCAAGAGGAAAAAAGCTCCCCCCAAGAAGAGCCCTTTAAATGGAGTGAGCCAGGAGGGAAAGCAGGTCCAGAGAAATGCTGCCAACGCCAGGGAGAGAGCAAGGATGAGGGTCCTTAGCAAAGCCTTCTCCAGGCTTAAGACCACCCTGCCCTGGGTGCCCCCAGACACCAAACTTTCCAAACTGGACACCTTGAGGCTGGCCTCCAGCTACATTGCTCACCTGAGGCAGATCCTGGCCAATGACAAGTATGAAAACGGCTACATCCACCCAGTCAACTTGGTAAGTCAGAGCCTTCCGGAGCCAGGCACTCTGTGTATGTGCATGGGGAGAGGCGGGCGAGGAGCTGGGATGGGGCATGTGCTGGGAGAAAACTTTGCTCTGCTTCTCACAGATTCTGGTGCTGGTGGGGTGGAAAGGTGTAGTGTGCAAGGGGACAGGCTTCCAGTTACTCTCTTGCCCTGTGCTTCGAGAGTCAAGCCTCCTGGGCCCCATCTGCTGGTCCTAGCAATGCCCTCCTGGAGAGAGACAGGGGCCACGCTGGCCACAAAGAGGCAAGGACAGGCTTTACTGCCCCAGAAATGCCTGAGAAACCTCAGAGGGTTGATGGCAGCTTCCTACCTGCAAGTGGGCAGGTACAGGAATTTGGATAGAGAAGGGTATGTTTGAGGTAGGACCCAAGCCAAGGACTCGGGACTCGCTCTTATCCCGAATTTCTACCCTAATGTTTCCTGCCATAATAGTCCCCTCAAGCCCTAGCTTTTTAGGACAGAGGTCTTGGGGCTCTGTACTCAGCCACTCAGATTTTCTGGGTCCAAGACGTTTCTTCTATCTATGTAAACTGACAAAGGAAAAATAAATACCAGTGCAGGCTCCCCAGGGGAGATGTCTGTCCCAGGTACACTCCACAGTGATTCTCCCTGGGCTGTGTGGTGTCCCTCCTGCTGCTCCCACCACCCACAGAAAGTTTTCCCGAGCAGCCTGGGGTCTACCCACCACACCCGGCCGCCAAAAATGTTGTTCCCAGCTCTAAAAATAAGCGCAAATGATGTAAGCCGGGGGTAAGCAAGATCCGCCTGGGCTCTTTTTAAACATACAGCCTTCATACTGCTCTCACGTGTGGACCCTGATGGATAAAGGGTTCACAAAGGGGATCTAGGGACGTT